CTACAACGGAACGTGTAACAAATGTACGTTCCACGAAAGACATTTAAGTAAATTATTGCTGAAAATGACCAGAGTGTTACTGTTAGACTGAAACTTTGGTAATAAGAGTGCCACGAGTCGTTAACAAGAAACGCGCGCGCGCATTTAATTTTAATTGGAGTCAGCTTTAAGTGCAATGCGCAAGGACGTGCAGTTTCTTCGCTGGCAAAGAATAACTTTAAGGATTCAGTGTGTGTGACGAATAATCCTCGACATCCCTGAGTGAAAAGGCGCCAAGTAATCTGAACAGCATCGCGTAACAACCCGTAGATTTCTTTCATCCTTTCATCCATCTTTTATCCTTGTATAATCACTAATAACATTAATAGAACTTTTTTCTAATTAAATAATTATTTTCTTTGTAAGTTAGAACAATAATAATATTCATCTACATATCTACATATCACGAATATTTTCTCATTTCTGTATTTTATGATTGAATAAAAAATCGCGCGATATATAATTAAGTTTTATTGTAGTATAGTCTAAGATATATTTTTCTTCGCTCTCTGACGATAATGAGTATTTTTGCACAGATAATTTATTAGCGCTTATCTAAACGCGCTTATAAACGGTCGATTAAATCAAGCAATGAATCTGCACTGTGTCTTTTTGACGGCGGCGCATTCTCTCGCGCTCTCATAAAACGCATCCATTAATGCAGCCGGTGCTCATCGCGTCGCGACTAGAATGGCATCCCGCCATGGCAGAAGCGGCTATTAAAGTGATTACCGTGGTGGCAATTATTACGGGGTTGAATTTACATTTATTCATCGCGTTCCTGGCAGGACGGGATGTTCATGCCTTAAACATGCCTGATAGCTAGAATCCAAGATGTTTTTACGGAGATACGGCATATAAGGTTTCCTCGATGTTTCTTTAAAAGAATTAGACATTTCTTTACTAGTTGTAAACTGATAAGAAACATTTAATTGCGTTTTAACGTTTGACATCAAAGTAGGTTCACGTAAAAAAAATCCCTGCTGACGATTGATCTTCGGATAAGCCCAGATACCGCGAGAATGATCGAATCTCGTCGTGATCGATAGATCGTTGATATAACAATAACTAATACTGTCGAATTACCGTATACGCGATAGTAACTGCGAAATTAAACGACTGTTATTATTTGCGAACGAGCGTGAATAATATCCGTGAGAAGCGGCGAGTATCCAAGTATTTCAAGATATCCATCGTAACCAATGAGTAACCAGCAGCCGCAGCTAGATTTATCAATTGATTTGTATTCAATTATCTTACTAGCAATACTTATCAGCAAGCTTATATTATTTTTACATTACATTTATTATTAATTTTTTAGTTATTCATTTTTATCCAAAGCAAAGTCACACATAAATAATTTTCCTCTTTAGTTTCAAGAATCATACAAAAATTAATTTATATTTTAAAAATATAAAAATCTAGTTAAATTAAAAAATAATTAATAAAAATAAACATATAAATCTGCTGTCTATCAATGATTTGATGCTATATCTTGATCATGCATATCAATGCTATATCTTGGTAAATTATATATTTTGTATCTTATTATTCATTGATATAACAATAACTAATACTGTCGAATTACCGTATACGCGATAGTAACTGCGAAATTAAACGACTGTTATTATCTGCGAACGAGCGTGAATAATATCCGTGAGAAGCGGCGAGTATCCAAGTATTTCAAGATATCCATCGTAACCAATGAGTAACCAGCAGCCGCAGCTAGATTTATCAATTGATTTGTATTCAATTATCTTACTAGCAATACTTATCAGCAAGCTTATATTATTTTTACATTACATTTATTATTAATTTTTTAGTTATTCATTTTTATCCAAAGCAAAGTCACACATAAATAATTTTCCTCTTTAGTTTCAAGAATCATACAAAAATTAATTTATATTTTAAAAATATAAAAATCTAG